TAAAATAAAAAGGGGTTTGCACACAGATTTGTTAAATCTTTTTTTGAGAAAAGTTGATAATTTGCAACTTATTGTAAATGGTAGAAACCACCACAAACCCCCAAATCAGGTTTTAGAATCTTTATTAAATGCTTGACCCAATAGCGAAGAAAAAAGTACGAAGAAACTTGTATTAAGAATTTTTATTAATAAATAATAAAATGTATATATCAAAAGTTAGAAGTAGAAGCGCTTAAATTTGTTTACTTATTTTAACGTAGATATATAGGTATGTACATATGTAATAATTTCTGCACATACCTTTTATTGGTACATTGGTAATACTTATTTAGAAAACTGACAATTTTCGAAACAGAGATGTAAAAATCGTTAATAATTAACATTTTTCATAATGACATACTTGGCAGAAAAATATTTCTCTAATTAATATTTTCATTTATTATAAATATTTGTTCAAATTTAAGTGAAACAAATTAATGATAACGCTCAATAAACTATTTTTCGTGTTGAAATTTTGAAATCTGTTCAATAAAATTCAACCTTGCGTATTTTTCAGTGGGTTTTGTGTATTTAGAATATTTATATCGATTGATTGGTACTGAATGAATGTGTGCACACATAGCAAAAGCTGCATTCATCTGAATGCTTATTCAGTGTTAAAAGTTAATGTTTCGTCATTCAGTTTTTTCAATCTTTCTTTGAATATGTTAATGTGTGCAATCGTATCTACTTTGAGTGAATGTAGAATTGGAAAATTATAAGCCACATTCCCCAACAAGGAAAAATTCAATGAAAACATAATAACATAAAATTGATGATTTTTAATTTCATATGATTTCACAGTTTTACAGCTCTGTTGGCGCCTATTTATTTCAATTTCCGCCACATTAGGTTGCTGTCTGAACTAAATTTTATAGTGGCGGCTAAACGGGCAAGCATCTATTGTAAGTTGATTTTAAATGGTGGATTTTCAAAAATTACTGCATTACTACAAAAAATATATTTAAAAGTCTTACAATATCTAAAGCTTACGATGCTTTAAAGTAATTTTGAGTTACTTTAAAAGAAATTTGTATGCACATATCGAGCCCTAACCGCCAAAATAACGTAAGCGACATTTTTTTCAAAATTTTGTTTTTGATGCAGAAATATTCCTAGAGTATCTAGATGCGTTTCTGCATCGAAAATAAAATTTTGAAAAAAATGTCGCTTACGTTATTTTGGCGGTTAGGGCTCGATATGTACAAAACTCCAACTTCAATAAATTTTTAAAATTTGAGTATAGTGCTGGTAGTGGATGGGCACTTTCAAAGCCTTGTTTTAGTTTTTGAACAAACATATGTACATATATTAGGGTGCATCACTCTCCATAAAAAAAAAATAAAAATACGGGTTTTCCGTCAGAACTATAAAATTTATTATATTTTAAGACCTCCGCAAAAATATTTGACGAAATTAATAAGATTTACATGAGCTGCACCTATTTGAAAGTATCTCAAAAAATTAAGATTTTTTTTAAATAAAAATTTGTTTTTAAAAATATGTTTTCTAAAAAATCACCGCAAATGATAGAAGAGAATAAGTTTAAAAGCTCTGCATAAAATTTTTTAAACATTTTATCAACGGATGCAAAATAATATGCTTTTTGGAAGTATTTTCAAATCGGTCTAGCTCACGTAAATCTTTATATTTTTGCGAAATATTTTGGCAATAAGTTTGGGTCGAGTATTTGTATATATAGTATTTATTTATGTAAATGTCCAGTATGCTTACAACTAAGTATGTAGTAGATGTTTCTACAGTTATTGAGGCTTATCTTAGTTTCGGCCAGTCTGGAATTTGATTGCTGTTGTTAACTCAATATTTGACTTCTCTAGTCTAAACCAAAAAAAAAATAGAAAGAGGAAGATTTAGGCCTTGTTCAAATCGTTACTGGTGGAGAGCATAACCCTATTTGAATAATCGTGAGGTACGCTGCCTACAATTAACAAAAAAATAATAAAAATCCCAAAATACCTGCAAAGACAATGATATATATGTACATATGGTACCTAAGCAACACCATAACCTACAGACAACTTGCTAATTTGTTTGGTGTAACGAAATCCACTGCATGGACAATTGTTCGTCGCGTTGTTGCGTGGATCATTTCAATAGGATACGAGTTTATCAAGTGGCCAACTGGAGAAGCAGTGGAAGATACCACGAGAAAGTTTTTGCAAAGAAAGAAAGTACCTGGTGTCATTGGCGCAATAGACTGCACACATATAACTATTAACGCACCAAAAAAAGATAAGCATATATATTTTGATCGAAAACGAAATTACAGCTTAGTTTTACAGGGAATTGTCGATGCCGATATGAAGTTCATTGATATTTATTGCGGCGAGCCTGGGTCCTACCATGACTTCAGAGTACTTAAGAGATCAGCGTTTTATAGGAAAGCAGAAAATAGTGTTGAAAATTTGTTTCCAAACTCTACATTTATCCTTGAAGATTCGGCATACCCTTGCAAAAATGACTTAATTCCGGTATTCAAAGATTATGGTTCACTAACAGAACAACAAATCAGATTCAACAAAATTCATTCGTCGGCAAGAATTGTTGTAGAAAACGCGTTCGGCTTACTCAAAGGTCGTTTTCGCAGACTTTTTAAGTTTACAGAGCATAAAGATTTATGCGCTGTAACACATTTGGTGGCGAGCGCATGTATTATGCATAACATATGTATATTAAAAAACGACGACACCTTCATCGTTGAAGCAAATGAAAGTGTGGAATTAGAACCAGTCTCTGTGAGCGAAAGTGACATAAGTGGAGATCGTCGTAATGAGTTATTTATTCAGTTATTAAAAGGAAATGTTTGAGCTGAAGCTTGAGTTGATTCAATTGTATTTTATTACAATCCATACATGTTTTGTTGAAAAAATAAACAGGAAAGTATATTTGAATAGTAGCCAAACTATATTTAATTTTTTTTTTACTTTTTTGTCTTTTTTAATATTTAACCTTTTTCTTTTCTAATCATCTCCGCAGCATTGTTGTAGGAGTTTTAACTTTTCCTCCTCTATTTTAAGTTTTTTTCCTCCAACTCTAGCTGCAAATCACGCTTCTTCTCTAAATTTTGCAACATACGCTGAATATCTGCATGGAATTTTTCTTTCTCCTCACAGCTTCTTCTCTTCAGCTCAAGTTTATTTTCAAAGTAACGATCCTTGGCCGTTTTTCTAACACGTGTGCTCGCAGCGGGCCTGCTCGGCTGTAAATTGTGGCTTCGCGTTGGTGTGTTCAGCGATTGCGTGGAGGTACTCAGTTCTTGAAACGGACTTGAGGTGCTCGGTTCAGGGATTGGCGAAACCCTAGTTGAGTCTCTTAACAGCTCGATTGCTAATTTTAAAAGAAAAAAAAATTCAGTTACAATTTTATATCACAGTACGAAAAAGTCTTTCAACTTACTACATGTTTCTATTAATGCCTCCTGAGGATCTGTTCCTATGTTAATGGTATGATTATTTACAACCAAACAACTCTCACCAAAAATTTCGTCCATTTCTGTCATATATGGTATAGTGCGAGGACCAGTTCCTGTTTGCTTTCATTGTCTTTGGCAGACTTGTAGGCTTTTAAAAGCGTACGCATTTACGCAAAAAGTGCGTCTGTGGTAACCGTTGTATCCTAAAATACAAATATGTAGGTAATTTAATATTAAATTAAATATGCACAATTCTTACCACAAAACCTTGGAAAATCATATCTTCCAAAACATTTTGATATGCGTATTTTTTACGTGCATGAAGAAATTCTTCCTTCCTTTCCCCATAGCATTTGAGGAAAAGGAGCGTCTCCGCCCTCGTTCATACTTTTCTCTTGCTATAATTAAACAAAAAAAGTAATAATAATTCATTTATGAAAAATTATGAAAATAACCTTTTTCCCGTGTCAGTCATCGTTAAAGATTTTTCTAAATTGACAACTCATTAGAGATGTGTAACACAGCACAGTGCTGTGCTACTGTGCTGACACTCGTCAATGTGACGCACGCACAGGCGCACTTTTCGATTAAATTATATCACAGTAGCACACTTGGCACAATATGAAAGTACATCCTGGGCAGTGTTTTTAGCACACTAGGCCATGATTCAACAACTATAGGTTGTATCAATCGTACAAAAACAACATTTAACGTTGGTATGAACTCGTTGTGTCAACTACAGCTTCTTTATGTATTCATATTCGTATGTATATGTATACTCTGCATACCAGGATTTCAGAGTATTCTGAATGGTTTCAGATTTTTTTTAAAGAATTTTCTTAAAGAAATCGTACAGAAATTTTTTTCCAGTTCTTGTCAACCGCTTCATATGTTTTTCTTTAAAGATTCCTAAAATATCTAAACCTTTTCTACTTGATATAAATTTCATTCTACATATATTTTTTAGCAACTTAAGTAATGTTCTGCATCCGCCAGTTTCTACAGCCATGCATAAAAAGAAATAATGAAGTTACTTTATTGACGCATTGCTATGAAAGAGTTACTGTTTAACAGTGAGATTTGGCTAACTTTCAATTTTTTTACTGAAACCGGTGGTGAACACTCAAAAAACGGCCCTAAGAGGGGCATGACATGAAAGAAAACAAGTAAGAAAGTCTAAGTTCGGGCGGAGCCGAACATTAAATACCCGGCGCAATTATTAAATATATGTTTTCCACCTTTCCGAAAGCTACCGCTACACGGTAAGCCGGGGTGTATAAATTTTAAGTAAATTAGCGTCCTTAAATTTCGAAATATTGCAGTTTCAAGCATTTCTGAAATATACCATTATATGAAAAGCGGTCGTAATTTTAGTCCGATTTCAATAATTTTCAACACTTTTATGTGGCAAGCACAATAACCATACCGAGTTTGGTTCAAATTGCTAGAACGGTTAGCGAGATACATATATGTGATCATAAGTGGGCGGTGCCACGCCCATTTT